AAGGCCGGTGTCTCCCGCCTGCTGACGGTCACACCTACCTTTTCACTCCATGCCCACAGTCCGACTCCAAGGAAGACCACTCCAGCCAGCTGGGCAGGGCGGGGAGGGGAGGAAAGAGTCGGGTCAGGAGCGGCCAGCATCTCCAGGGCAGCCTGGGGTGCTCGGTGCAGGCAGGCAGGCGGGGCCCAGGCTGTCCCAGGTCCTCTGCCAGCCCACACCGAAGCCTGCATCTCAGGCTCCGTCAACTCCCTTTCTCTCCCCAAGTACCCCGTGCAGGCAGGGCACGCAAGCCTGGAGGGGACATCCCCACCCCCGGGGTCCCCAAGGCCTGACTGCCCATGTGCCAACCCTGAAAGGCAAGCCTCGGCCCTCCTCTCACACCTCAACCGCCTCATCAACGCCCTCTGTGGCTGCCTTCCTGCTCCCGGCCACCCTCCTATTCCAGCCCACTAGACAGTGCTGGACGGCTTGGCCCCGACCCTTTCCCCTGCCCCCAACCCCGGAGGGCCTCAAGATTCACCATGGCTTAAACACAGTCTACACACGCTAATTCGGAATCCAGACCTCCTGCCCTGGACGCCCTCCCCCGTCAAATCCCAGTGACAGGGTGCCTCGGGGGAGGACGGGCTCGTAAGGAGTGTCCCCACCCTTTCCCAGTCCCCTCAGCACAGGGGGTGGGGGGCGAGGGGGCCAGGTCCTCGCAGGTGGGCTTCCCATCCTGTGGGACTTGCCCTATGTACCCTGACAGCCCACGACAGAGCCTGGCCTCCCAGCCCAGCCCAGCCCAGCCCCGGCTGCCATCTCCTCACCTCCACCATAGATGCCCGCCTGCGTTCCTGGACTCCACACCCCAGCCAGGCCCCTGCCAGAGCCACCTGCAGTGCGGCCTATCCTGCAGCCCTCCTCCGGGCAGCCATCCACACGCCACTGCCCAGGCCTGTCCTGCAGGGCCCGTCCCAGCTCCCAGCAGCGCGTGGCCCTGTACAGACGCCTCAGAGCAGCAGCGGCTTCCCTCGAGGCTGTGCGGTTGGGCCTGCCGATCCCCAACACCCTCCACCACCCTGCCTCGGGGCCTGCATCCTGAACCAGAGCGCTGTCCTCGGACCGCGACACGCCCCCTCGGCCTGGGTCAGCAGGCTGGGGATAGGCGACAGTCCTGCTCTCACGTGAGCACCTGCCCAACTGCTGTCTGACTGCTCGCCCCCGGTGCCACATGGATGGCCTGAGCACCGTGCAGGGACACCCTCGCCACCGCCTGACACGGGCCATCCCTCGTGCCCCGTGACCCATGTTTCCACGTCGGGACGGCCACGGCCCACCGTTTACCCAGTGGCCCAGCGCGGTGCTCCTCACTCTCCCACTCGCGAGGGAACAGTTCAGCCGGTCGGCAAAGGAGCTCTGTCAGCAGCCGGAGGCCAGGATCCCAGAAAGTCTGGCCATGGTACCTGCTGTGTCACCCAGACGCGAGCCCTGGCACCACCCTGCTCGGGGCCCCGGCTGTCCCTGAGCTGAGGCCATGGCACCTGCTGTGTCACCCAGACGCCAGCCCTGGCACCACCCTGCTCGGGGCCCCGGCTGTCCCTGAGCTGAGGCCATGGCACCTGTCTCCTCCATTCTGGTCTCTTGTTTATTTTTTTTAGAGGTTTCAACCTCACTGCAAGTGTACTCACTGACTAGAGAGACAGAGACAGAGAGAGGGAAAGTGAGAAATCACCACCCTAGAGGAGAGCGGGACAGCCATGCCGCAATCCCTTCTCCATTCTCCTCCTGGGATCCTGGGCATGCACGCACATGTGCCCAGCATGATTTTCAAGTCACCAGGTCTGGGACTCAAACCACGGTTGGCCATGTGGGAGTCCAGCGATGTAACCACTGTGGCCCCTGCTGGCTACATCTTCCACTCTGTTTTAAAGGAAGAGCTGAAGTTAACTTGCACCAGAAAGACAGGAGCGTGGGGTCACACGTCAGATCATGTGTTCAGCAAGCATAGCCTGAGACGGTAACTGCGGGGGAGGGCGTGACTGCCTGGACGCACAACGGCCGGGGAGAAGTGGCAGCCATTACCCTGGCTTTGCCGGGGGCCCAGCCCTGACGCCGGGCAGCCTGGGCCTTCCACTGGGCACCACATCGGGGCCGCGGTGGCTGCCCGGCTCCAGGGCCAAGGGCCCCATCCTCAGGTGGCCAGCTGCCCTGCTCCCCACAGGCAGGTGTGGGGGTCACCAGGTATTCAACAGTGACCTCCCAACTCAGGTGGCCGGCCTGCCAGGATGCCAAGGGGACAAGCTGCTGAGCCTCTGCCCCTGCCGCCGGGAGGGCTCTCAATCTCTTTCACTCTCCTGAGGCCTCTAGTCCGAGCCCTGCCGTGGCCCCCTGGGCTAAGAGCACCCTGGGCCGCAAAGGGCAGTGTGCCCGCCCATGGAGCTCAGGAGCAGGGGCCGGGCTCGGGCCACCAAGCCCCAGGAGAGCACTGGCCCCGGTCACTTGGGGGACGCTGAGCTGGGCCAGGTGGTGTGGCAAGGAAGTTCCTCACTCCACCAGGTGACACAGGTCTGGGGTCCTTGGAGCGGCCTGCGGACAGCTAGAGATCAGCAGTGGGTCAGTGACAACACCTTGCTGAGAGCTGGCCCTGTGGTGTGGTGTGAGGAAGTTGGATCGCACGTGGCTGACCAGAGTTCGAGTCCCGGCCCTGCCGCTTAAAAGCAGTGACGTGATCAGGCCCGCTGGGGTGCTCTCACTTCCTCCTCACCCCTCCCCAGTGCAGACACTGCCTTCTAACAGAGAAAACAAGAACTTTTTAAAAAGGAAGACAGACCTCGTTGGGTGTGCCTGTCTATTTCACTCTTACTCCCTCATGGGCATGGAGAAGCACATAAACTGTTAAAACCTGTGCTGGACTAACACATGCCCGGGACTGTCCCCTCTGGCTGCCTGGGAACGCAGCCCCATGGCCTGCACGCAGCGTCTCACGTCCCCACCGGGACACCATCCCGGGCACAGCCAGCAGGCTTCCCCACGTCCGCTGTCTGTGGGCTCACACGCACGCTCATGGGGGCCCAGTGGTGGGGCCAGCCCTCCACAGGGCAGGGGGAGGCCGGGCCCAGCACTTGTCCCCAGGCACACCCCGCACCATGCTCCGCAAGCCAAGGAGAGGAAATGCTTCCCAGGGCAGGCCCCTGCGGGCTGGGCCGGTCCTGGCCAGGTGCCAGCTACACGAGACCCCACCCATGGGCCTTCTCCTCGGGCCCCACCTATACTCCCTCGTGCTCTCCCTCATAAAGAGAAGTCTGAATTATGGCAAAACACATCAACTGTACATAGCCCAGACTTTACCTTAACCAGTTTTAAAGGTTTGCGCCACAGGGCACCTGTGTTTGCCAGAGAGACAGAGGGGAAGTGAGAAGTCACCCCGGGGGACAGCCACGGTGCAATCCCTTCTCTCCATCCTCCTGGGATTTGGGGCACATGCACACGTGCCTGGTGAGATTCTTAAGCCGCCGAGTCCAGGACTAGAACCACAGCCGGCCGTGAGGAAGTCCAGCACTGTAACCTCTATGCTAGCACCTGGCCCGTCTTAGCCACTGAGAGCCACCAGGGCACTCAGCCCAGCCACCGTCACTCCCACCACAGAAGGCCTCGCCCTCCCCAGCTGCACTGCCACGTGACTGACTCCGCACCCCAGGAACGGCACGACACAGCACGTGTCTGCACCTGTTCACCCCGCTAAACCGCCGTGCTGCGGCTGGACTGAGAGCTGCCTTGCCGCGGCTGCCCGACACTCACTGCGCAGAGGCCACTCAGCACTGACTGGTTCAGCGGCAGTGGACACTTGTCGGTTCCCACCTCGGGCTCCAGGGCAGTGCTGCTGTCAGTGCGGGGTACAGAGACCTCAAGACCTCGCTTTCGTCCTGCACATGCACCGCGTGGAGTGGTGAAGGACACGGTCACTCTGCTTGCGGCTTTCTGAGGCCGCCACGCTGTTTCCCCGCCAGCGCCACCACTCTCCTCCGTGCCGACGGTGTACAAGAGTTGTGCCTTCTCCACGGTTCAGCGAGCATTTGCCATTTTCTGGTCTTTTTTTTAATAGTCATCCTAATGGGTGAACAGTACCTGGCTGTGGTTTTGATTTGCATTTCCCTGAGTCAAAGCAAGATTGTGGCTAGAAACAGACCTAGCATAACAGAAGGATGATTTCTGTAGCCTCCTGGTAAGGGGGCTGGGTCCCACAGGGCCGCAGTCAGCTTCCATGAGAACAACAGGTGCCTGAGTGCACATGCACAACCCCGACAGGGCGGAGACGGGCAGGGAGACTGCGGCCAGAACGGGCCCACCGAGGGTGCGTTCTGCCTCACTCTGTCTCTCTCTCTGGAGCTACTAAAGAGAAAGGGTGATGAAATGGACAGTGATCTCCACGTGCGGTCAGCTGACAGCGTCTCCCCAGCACGCATGCTCTGACAGCTCAGGACGTCCAGTCCCACTCACTCCCCATAGTCAGGATCAAACTGACACAAAGGCCCATGGAGCCCACATCCCTCACCCAGCAGGCACTGAGTCACTGGGAAACCAGCCCCAGAGCACTCCGGTGTCCACCCCAGCACCGGGACCCGCCGGGACGACCCGCACTGCTGCTCACTGTTGATTTTATTTTTTGGAGAGGTTTTTGCCATAGGGCGCGTGCGCTCGCCAGAAAGACGAAGACAGAGAGACAGAAAGCGAGAAATCGCCCCCCAGGGGGGATGGTCACACCGCAATCCCTTCTCCTCCATTCTCCTCTCGGGATCTTGGGCACGCACGCACATGCGCCTGGTATGAGTTTAAGCCACCGGGTCCGGGACTCGAACCGCGGTCAGCTACATGGGAGTCCAGCGACATAGCTATTATGCTAACTGCTGGTCCCCCTCACTGTTGATTCTTGAAAACAAAAAGCACAAACCTCTGGCAAACACTGTGCAGACTTTACTTCAGAGCACCCTGGGACAGGCTGGGGGATAGAGGGAAGCAGCCTCATCCCATTCCCTGCGTTTTAGAAACAAACCTGCTCGGAAGACCACTCTCAGACCTCCGCAGCAGCCCCACGAGGCACCGGGAAACACTCATGCGCAGAGGACAATGGAGGCCAGCAGGAGCTCTCGGTCCAGGGAGAGTCCAGACCGGCTTGGAACGGCCCAGAGCCAGCCTGGCAGCTCCTGCAGTGCCATGCACGCCCCAGAGCTGTGCTCCCAGGCCTCACCCACAGGGGTCATGATGGCAGACCCCACAGGGCCCAGCTGTCCCTTCACGTCCCAGCCGAGCTCCCAGGCCTCAGCTCCCTGCTGTCCCCGTGTGTTCCCATGTCCCGCCCGTGCACACTGACTGAAATCCAGAACTCTCAGCTCACACAAAGCCTGGTCCGCAATGGAGGACACCATGCCCTCCCCCAGCGAGCACTCGCCCCACGGTGCATGTGGACGCTGCTATAAAATTCACGGCTAGGGACCAGCAGTTAGCGTAATGGCTACGTCGCTGGACTCCCACGTGGTCGACTGCGGTTCGAGTCCCGGACCTGGTGGCTTAAACTCACGCCAGGCGCGTGTGCATGCGTGCCCAAGATCCCGAGAGGAGAATGGAGGAGAAGGGATTGCGGCGTGGCCATCCCCCGGGGGGTGATTTCTCGTTTTCTGTCTCTGTCTGTCTGTCTGTCTGGCGAGCGCACACGCCCTATAGCAAAAACCTCTCAAAAAAAAAAAAAAATCCGCGGCTACAGGTGCCACCAGGCGGCTGGCACAGCTTTCCTGCATAGGCTCTGCTGAAAAAGCCACTCAAGTATCGGGGTTGTCACGGCCCCCCGGCATGGCACCGAGAGTTAGTTAGGTCAGCTGCAAGAGTCTGAGCTGGGTGAGGGCACTGACGGACAAGGGCCCGGCCCGGCACCTGGGGGTGGGAGCGCCGAATGGGCGGAGGGCTCTCACCCGGGACACCACAAGTCACACAGTCAGGGCTCCGCTGGGAGGGAGCCGGGATTCGTGGACATGCCCAGCGATGCCTATTTCAAGGACGGCGACATGCTGAGTGCAGGACGCGGGGAGGGCGAGCTGTGGAGTCCCGCCCGCTTTCCACAGGACAGAGACCCCAAGCACACGGAGCGGCTGCCTAAAAGCAAGGGTGAGGAGCAGGTGAGGGGCCAGCAGAGGCACGGTGCGGAGGGAAGCCAGTCCCACATGCTGACAGCGTGGCGTGAGCCCTGGACCTGGCAGCGTGGAAAAGACTCTGGGCATGGGTGCGAGCCCTGAAGGCGAGACGGAGGGGTGGGGTGCGGCATGCCGGGCTGCGGGCGCTTCCCAGCCGTCCTCTCTGGCGAGCACACACACCGACCGGCAGTGCTGGCAGTTTGAAACCACCAATTCTGGGACCAGCAGGTGGCACGGTGGCTGAGGCGCCGACTCCCATGTGGCCAACCAGAGGAGTCCCGGACCTGGTAGTTTGAAAATCATGCCAGGCATGTGTGTGCCCAAGATACCAAGAGAATGGAAGAGAAGGGACTTTGGCGTGGCCATCCCCGGTGATGTCTCACTTGCCCTCTCTCTGGTGAACACACACCCCCTAAAGCAAAAACCTTTAAAAAAAAAAACGATCAATGACAGCCACTTCTGCCCACCCGCATCACACGTGACCTGAGTAAGCCGTGGCAGCTCCTGTCCGTGTGGACATCTCCCTGACTGCTCTCAGCCAGCTCGGAGTGGAGGGCCCTACTCACGTGAGTGCCGCACCCTGGGGCTCTGGCAGCCCTTGCCTCCCCTCGCTGTCACACACCCCTGATGACAGCGCCAGGCTGCGGTCCATGTGAGGGTCCCTGACAAGGACACTGACGCCCCAGCAAGGCCAGCGAGAGCCACCACCTTGCCTCTGCTCCATCCCCAACTCAGCTGTGCCCCACCCGCCCCTCCTGCAGTCACTCCAGGACCAGACTTCCAGTTGTCCCCTCCGAATGAAAGGAGAAGGGTCCCGATGGTGCTGGGACCTGGGTGGCCTTCCACAACGGCTCCTGGTGCCGGCCCTGCACCTCTGCGCTGTGCATGCCCCGTACCCTGTCTCACAGAGCTTCTTCCTCAGATCCGACTCAGCAGCCTCACCCTGGGGCACCCTGGGAGCCCTCCCAACCACCTGCCGAGGGGACCAGGGCCCAGGGCAGAACCAGCCTCTCGCCCTGCACCCAGGCCAGGCCCACCTCACACGCACCGTCTCCAGCTGCAAGGCATCACCAGGGTGTTCCTGGGAGCAGGGGACCCTGACTAGGGACTGGAACCAGCTCCTGGTGGCCTGAGTTCTCCCACCGCAGCCTGCCGCTGGCTGGCTCTGAGTCGGGGCTTGGCCACCTGCCCCCACTTTCCCGAGCCTCGCGGCAGGCAGAGCAGACGTCAGCGAGGACGAAGGGCGGGGCCTGACTCACCCAGAAGACGATGTTGTAGCTGAAGAGGAGGTACTTGTACCAGCAGCTCACCTCCGCGCTCGCGTAGATGTGGTAGTGCATCTCCCCTCCGGAGGGCTGCGGAGAGAGGGCCGATGAGGGCGGGCTCGCCGGGGCTCCCACCTGCCTCCTGCTCCCCAGGGTGCGGGCTGGGGTCCCTGCAGGCGACTCGGGCAAGGAGTGAGCAAGGCAGGCCCAGACAGTGGGCGGCCACGCCCCAAGGCAGGCCCACCTGGCGGTGGAGTGCAGTGGGGGCTGGGGCGGGGCCTGGCATGAGACCCTGGTGGAGTTCCGCCCGGAGACAGGGGACATGTAAGGGCCATCACAGCTGAAGTGGCTTCTGAGGACAGGACTCGGGCCTGAGTCTGCCTGCCCTCTGAGCTCTTCCCCTCATACCACGCACGGATTCCACTACGGGAGAAGTCGGGCTTCAGGGGTGACAGGGCTGCTGGACGGGGCTGGCGGTCAGGACGCCGATAAGCCCGGCAACCGGAACCACAAGCGACAGCACGGCCATAGCTCATCCCTCCCACCCACCGCTGCCGGCTGTGGTGGTGGGCGTGGCCGCGAGTGGAAACAGGCAGGTGTGGGCATGGCCTGGCCTTAGCGGCAGAGGGCCTGACCGGGGCGCCCCGACCCTGGGCTCTCTCTGAGAAGCCCCAGCCCCACCCTCAGAGATGAGTGAGCTAGCACTGGCCGCAGTGATCGGGGCCCAGGGACTGCCCGACCCCAGGCCCCTGCTGCGCTCCACCGCAGGACCCCCTGCCCCTGCGGCTGTATGAAGCCCAGGCTCACAGCCCTCGCGGACACACCCTGGAAAGGGCCCAGGAGCAGTGGGGCCCTAGGCGTTTATACGTTCACCTCCCAAAGCCCCTCCGAGTGCCATTTAGGGACACCTCCCAGGCTTCCTTTCTGAACCCCAGTGGTATCCAGATGACTCCTCCACCACCCCCTGCCCAAGGCAGTGGGTGGGATGGCCAGGGTCTTGGGCAGGCCAGGGGAGCGGGATCTGAAATGCACAGGTGCGACCCTTCCAACCCCAGCCCCCCACCTCCCATAGCCCCAGAGACCAGAGCCACGGCTAGGACCCTACAGACCCCCAGGCAGGGCGGGGCGCCCCGGACCTGTGGGAGACCAGCTCCCGCAGCCTTCCTGGGAGTGGGCCACCGACATTCCGAGCGCGGCCCTGAGGGACAGAGACCTTTCTTTGTCCAGAATCAGGTCCTGTGCCTCTAGGTGTGGAATACGCTGCAGGTCTATGCCAGAGCCAGGGCACCATGAGGCCTACCGTCAGCGACCCCACGCATCACGCTCAGCACACCTAAATGCCTGCCTGCAGCCCAGAGCATGGCTGTGACGCCGGGGCTGGACCCAAGGCCACCCATGCAGCTGTGTGAGTAACCCACGGACCTGCAGAACCATCCAGCCCCTTCATCCTCCGTCAGTCCCGCCCTCCCCCTAGGCCCAGAGGGGCGGCTCTGGGGTGGGGCAGAGCCCGGGTGAGCTCCCATGGTGTGGAGTTCAGCATCCCAGGGAGGAGCTCCAGGGCCACCAGCAGAGGGTGTCACATCTGCAGAAACCCAAGTGGGAGGAACCAGCAGTTAGCGTAATGGCTATGTCGCTGGACTCCCACGTAGTCAACAGCGGTGGCTTAAAACTCACGCCAGGCGCGTGTGCGTGCATGCCCAAGATCCCGAGAGGAGAACAGAGGAGAAGGGATTGCAGCGTGGCCATCCCCCCTGGGGGGTGGCTTCTCGCTTTCTGTCTCTCTCTCTCTCTCTGTCTGGCGAGCGCACGTGCCCTAGGGGGCCGCCGGCGCAATAAGGAAAACCCCCCAAAAAAAAAAAAAAAAAAAAAAAAAAAAAGATAACCAAGTGGGCAGTAACAGCAACAGCGCTGACCCCGAAATCCAGATCTGACCCAAGAGCCATGTCTGTCAGCTACCCAGTCACCAGGCCAAGGCAGAGTCTAGGCCACCAGGCTCCCAAGCCTGTCACGGGACGTTCATATGCCCAACACCATGGCATCCACCCCGAGAACGCACACGTATGCAGTCACCTGCGCATGTGGGCAGGTGAGGGGTCCTTGCTTCCCAAAAGACACACGTTACCGGGCACAGAAGCACCAGAGCTGATGTGCGTGTGTAGACAGCAACCACCAAGGCCTCAAACAGGGCCAGCAGGGGTTACATCGCTGGACTTCCACGTAGTGGACCACGGTTCAAGTCCAGGCCTGGTGGCTTAGACCTTACACAGGGCGTACGTGCGTGTGTGCCAAGATGCCAAGGGGAGCATGGAGGAGAAAGAGAATGCTGCGTGGCCACCCCCCGGGGCGATTTCTCATTTTCTATCTGGCTCTCTGGTGAATGCACAATGGGAAAAACTCTCTGTGGAAAACAACAACAAAACTCTTAACAGAAAAAGAAACCTCAAACTGTCTCAACCTAAGAGCCTATTAAGATAAAGCATTCGGAAGCAAACAGGAGGCATATGTTTGTGAAAATGGTAGCGAAATGGTGCTGAGTCATCTAGTGTGCACCCCGAGGGAGTCAAAATCAGAAATGGACGGAGCAGAAACACTTCTGGGGCACACTCACGTGCTCACACCCAGGGAGCAGGCATCCTGGGCCGTGCACTTCTTTCACTTCTGAGGAAAAGAAAAGCTCCGAAGGACAAGACCACCCCCACAGGGCAGACAGGGCCTCTAAAGACGCCCCACGGCTGAAAGCACCGCTGAGACAGAAGGGCCAGCCCCGGCGAGGCGGTAATGTCACTGCACACCTGACACGAGATTCCACACGCCCAGACAACCGAGGGCATGGGCATTACAGCACAAAGACCACGGTCCACGGCCCCGGAGACAAGGCTGACGGCCCAGAACCACCTGCACACTGGTAACTTAGCAAGCGACAGCACGCTCACACTGGCAGTGGACAGCCGTTACTGCCCTCCCGTGAGAACGCGGCTGACCTCCCCAGACAGGCAGACTGGCCAGACGAGAACCATACACGCGTGGCCAGGAACTGCCTGCAGGGAACAAGCCGACAGGAGAAAACGGAGACGTGGCGAGTCGCAGCACGAGTGGGAGCACGCAGTTAGGGACAGCTCAGAGCTGGGGTCAAAGGCCACAGTGTAACACGCGAGCATAGTCACAACTGCGTGGGACGGCAGATGGGAAAGTGACCTCCACAGCGCTCTGACACACAAGTACCACTGTCGCCTTCGTGCTAGATGTAAATCGAGGTGCTGCTGGGGGACGGCTAGAGGACCCTAGCACCTGCACCAGCTGTAGCCCTGGTGGGGTGTGGTGGGCGTGGTGAGCCACTGTGGGCCGTGGTAGGCCATAGTGAGTGCAGTGGGCCGTGGTAAGCATGATGAGCCGTAGTGAGCGTGGTGGGCGTGGTAGGCATGGTGAACATGGTGAGCCGTGGTGAGTGTGGTGAGCGTTGTGGGCTGTGGTGAGCCATGGTGAGCTGTGATGGGCGTTGTGGGCATGGTGAACATGGTGAGCCATGGTGAATGTGGTAAGCCATGGTGAGCATGGTGAGCCATGGTAGGCTGTGGTGAGCCATGGTAGGCTGTGGTGAGAGTGGTGGGTGTGGTGAGCATGGTGAGCCATGGTGGGTGTGGTGAGCATGGTGGGCTGTGGTGAGCATGGTGGGCCGTGGTGAGCCATGGTGGGCTGGGGGGGGGCAGGGGG